CGAGATATAACGCGGAAATCTTGAGAAGAAGCAACCCATTTGTCAGTCCAGAAATCAATGGACTGCCCATTGCAAACCTGCCGTCGAACCCCCCGATTTAACACCTCACGGCCTTCCAAAATACTTGTCCAAGCCTAAGATGCCTTAGCACCTTTTCTAGCATTCTAGAAATCGGAGTGTGGGTAGTATAAGCTCTTGAGAAATTGAGCACCAAAGGAGTGAGGGTATTTGCGCAACCGCCATCCCTGACGAGCTAGCAATGCTTTATTAAAATAGCGGAAGTCCCGAAAACCCAACCCCTCCTTTAAGCTTTGACATGGACATTGTAGCCCACGAAGCCCAATGCATGCCTCAACTTTCCGGATCACCTTTCACCAAAAATTACTCAACAAAGAGTTCAAATCAGCATAGAGTTTTTTGGGGAAAATGAAGCAAGCCATCGCAAAAGTGGAGATAGCTTGAGTAACCGATTTAATGAGAATTTCCCAGCCCACATGGGATAATAACTTAAGCTTCCACCCTTGAAGTTTCTCTTGTACCCTTTCCAGAATAAAGTTATAGGTCTCCACTTTTGATCTCCCCCAACATGTGGGCAGCCCAAGATATGTAGATCCATCTTTGACTGGGGCAATATTCATAACATCACAAATTTGTCATTTAAAAGCCAATCTAATATTCGAGGAGAATTGGATACCCAACTTTCCAAAATTGATTCATTGGCCTGAAGTGTTATTGTAAACATCCAAGCCTCTAAGGATTTTGTGGCATTAGTTAACATTCGCTTGAAGGAATAAGAGAGCATCATCTGCAAAAAAAACAAGTGTGACAAGATTGGGCATGTTCATCTAGGTTGAATCCTCGAGAATTCCATAACCCTCAAGCTTCTGTGAAGAAGTTTAGACAACACCTTAATCACCAAAAGGAATAAGTAAGGGGAAAGAGGATCCCCTTGCCGGATTCCCCGAGAGGGCCTAAAAGCAGTTCGTTCAGCTTCATTACTGAAGACTGCAAATGTAACCATAGAAACATATTGTATGACCCAGTTGACCCATTTCTCATGAAAGCCCATCCTTTGCATTATGGCTTGAAGAAAATCCCATTGAACCTGATCATAGGCTTTGTTGAAATCAAGTTTGACGGCCATATTCGATTGTTTGCCCTTCTTTTGCAATTTTAGGAAATGAAAAGCTTCATGGGCTACAAGAATATTGTCTTGGATCATTCTTCCGGGCACAAAGGCGAATTGATTGGGGGATATGATCTTACTAAGCACACACTTCAGTCGGTTGGACAAAACTTTTGTGGTTATCTTGAGTGTAAAATTACATAAGCTAATTGGTCTAAAGTGCGACAGTGATTCCAGAGCTTTAATTTTCGGAATTAAAACCAAATTAGTATGGTTACAATCTTTTGACATAAAACCATTCGTGAAGAAACTACAGACTACCATACAAACTTCAGTCCCAATCTCAGCCCAATACTGGTGGTAGAAAAATCCAGGATACCCATCAGGTCCAGGGCCCTTAACAGAGCCTAAATGAAACACCGCCACCCGGATTTCTTCATTGGATACCTCTCTGATTAACCAAAGATTCATCTCATTTGTGATGACTTGATTCACCACACTCAAGGCCTCTGTCATATCCCGATGACCATCAGAAGAAAACAAGTCTACAAAATAATTGTGTAGATGGGCATTAATATTCTCTTTCGATTCAAGCCATATCTCACTTTCATATTTGACGCATACCAGCTGGTTCCTCTGTCGGTGTTGGATGAGTGTTGCATGAAAAAAACGCGGTGTTTCTATCTCCAAACGATAGCCAATTAACCCGAGAACGTTGATGAACGAACATTTCCTCCCCGAGTGACAGATCTTCGAGCTGAGATTGTGTGAAACCTTAGTCTTGGTGGTATGAGAGGAAGTCCTTGAAGGTGGGCCAATTGGCATTTATAAGCAGCAATCAACTTCTTGTTATTACCAAACTTAGTCTTACTCCAAGTCAACAGATCTCTCTTGCAAGCGTTCAAACGTTGCGTCAGTTAGATCATAGGGGATCCAGTTGTTGATGACGCCCACGCTCGCTTAATAACTTCTCCACACTCTGGATTCGTTGACCACATGGATTCGAATTTAAAAATCTGAGGGATCCACTTTGGGGGAAGGCAACAATTAACAATCAATGGGCAGTGGTCTAATCTAATGATACTTTCATGATGAACTTGAGCAGAAAGAAATCGATTATGCTACTCCATCGTAACAGAAGCTTTGTCCAGTCTTTCTTGAATATTAGCTTTTCCAACCTAGTTGTTCGTCCAGATATAGGCATTACCTTTGAATTCAAGATCCATTGGAGCAAATTCTGAAATCATAAACTGGAAACTTTCAATTTAAGATCTGTTACACACTAAACCACCTTGTTTTTCCCACATTGAGCCTACTTGATTGAAATCACCAACACACAGCCATGGGTAATAATTGTTACGAGCTTGGTTTATTAAAAGCTTCCAAAATTCCTTGCGGTCTGATCAAGATGGAAGAGCATAAATAAAGGATACAGCCCACACACTATCCACTCCAACATTACCAACCGTACACCGAATGGGATTTTTTGATCTAACTCTAACATCCAGGCTTACTGAATCCATCCACCAAAGTGCCAGGCCACCTGAAGCTCCCACTGGCTTAACATAGATACTATTTGAAAATTGACATCTTCTGCGAATTCTTTCTAACTTTGACGCTTTATTTTTTGTTTCCATCAAAAACACCATAGAGGGGCGATGGGTTGAACATAACCCTCGGAGGATCTGGACTGTCAGAAGTTGCCCCAACCCCTGACAGTTCCAGTTGAGAATCAACATGGAGCGTGTGGCTATTGAGGGCCAGCAGCCACCAGTGCCCATTCTGTGGTCTCAATACCTTATGTTGGATAAGTGCTAGGGACTTGAGAGCAAAAATCACCCACTCCCTCTTGATCCCAAGCAATGGAAACATGAACCAATGCCCCGTCATTCTCAATAGTTAAGTCTTGTGGCAAGCTGGTACGAGGCTTATTGTGTTTGTGAGACTTCTTTCTTCTTGCGTTACGAACTAGCTTCATTTTTGGCTCTAGAGTCTGCAATTCCTTTTTGGCTCTAGAGTCTGCAAATGAGAGGAGCCAATTGCACCAACAAAACTAAACTTACTCCTTTTGGGCTGAGATGTGTCGACTAAAGCTTCAGAAGCCTTCCATTTAATAGATAAGTCTTTGGAGAAAGATGCCATGCAGTTATCAATAGTATGGTCTACAAAAGACACTTTAGTTAGGTTGGAGTTTGGGGTAATTTCCTTAATTCCAATTTCGTTGACAGGCCCAATTCCACTTTCATTGCTGAGGGTTACCTTTATTAACAGATTGTGATCCACAGGTTTGATGACGAAATATTGAGGCCCAAGCCCAACAAAGGACTGGGCCGAAGGCATCAAAAGCTTGGTTGGTGTAATTTCCTTAGGAGATACAATTCCCTCCCTGAGATCATCTCTCTCAGTCACTTGGGAAACCTTTATACTCTCCATGACTACCTCATTGGCTGGCACTAGTTAACCACCTTGACGACATCCCTTATCACTAGCTGACACCATATCTGATCTCAAAGGAGAAGCATACCTTGGAGGATCAGCTTCGACATAGTCTGTAGCTACCTCAGGGTCTGCAGTGCCTGCAGTAGCAGTATGATCTATTATGTTGGTTTGGCGTTTGTGAGTCATCTCGCACATATCATCCGTACTTGTCACCACCGACCATTGGCTAACCAGGTTTCTTACTCTTTCCTCTGCCATATCGACCCAGTGGCGTACTTGTTTCGCCGGAATATCGAGTCTAAGAGCTCTGCTAGTTCGAAGCTCCGGTCCATAGCCAGAGTTCTTACCCTTCTCACGAGAGACTAATTTCCAAGAGGAATTGTCATGTCCCAACCTACCGCAATCGTAGCAAAAATTCGATAATTTCTCATATTTGTAGTAGACCCAAGATCCCTTGTCCTCAGATCCATGGTGCTGTAGAATAAAACCCCGAGGAAGGGGTTTGGACACATCCACTTCCACTCTGAGCCAAAGAAAACTCCTCTCCAAAAAGAGGCCATCATGTAAAGCTTCGACCCCTATAAGATTCCCAATTCTCTGACCAATAATCTCACCATTCTGCCTTGTTAGTTTGGCCACAGGGATACCATGGACCTAAATCCAAAAAGGGCTCCATTTGAAATCCATCTCTTCAACCGATCTCCCTATTGCTAAAGGTTGTAGAACCAACAAATAGCCCATTACAGACCAATGAGCCTCCATGAGAACTCTTCGTCAATCTTCGGGATCAATAAATTGGAATAGAAAGATGTTGTTCAACCAAGAGGATATTACCAGTTTAGCTCGTGTTTTCTAGGCTCCTTGAAAGATATTCGAAACCGCAATCTTATTAAGGGTTTTGGGGGCCAAAATCTTCCCTACCAAATAGAGGTTGGAAACATCAACATTTTTATCCGACCTCTCTTGAAGGTCCACGCAATCTAGACCGTCCGATGTAAGTGAGAAAGTTTCCATGGGGAAACGCTAGGGCTGAGTCGAAGGATAAGACAAAGCGGAACAGCCAAAACCCTCGAAAAGGCTAAACCCCTTCACAAAGAAGTTATCAGGGCTCAGGGAGAGAGGAAAACCTTGGGAAATGAAAGACCCCAGCAAAGCTACCAAGAGGTAGAGAGAAATCTCACAAAGGAGAGAGAGTAGTGTCTGTTGCTGTTTGTTTAAAACACACCTTCAATTCGATATCAAATGTCATAAAAATAAAATAAAATAAAAAAAGTAACTAAAAACCCTTTTCAACACCCATTAATTTTAAAAGAGATAATGAAACTTAGTTCAACAATATACATGACATCTTGAGACTTCATTCTTTTGATGATAATGATCATATATATATATATATAATTGTGTTTGCTTTGTAGTTGGGGCGACGATAGGAGCAATGGCAGGGGCAGTTTTGGGGATGAAAAGTGAGAGGAAGATTGGATTAGTACATGGGGCTGCTGTTGGAGCTTTCAGGAGCTTCTTTTTCCCTTCACGCCGTTAGTGCTTCGTTTTCTCTCTGGATTTCATTTCATGACAATGAACCTCTCTCTCTCCCTCTCTTCGTGAGTCCCTCTTCATCTTTCTCTTTTTAGAATCTGCTTTAATGACAGTTTCGTGCATTTATTTATATATATCTTTTTTGAAACATTCAATACAAAGTAAATAAGCATTACATCAATAAAGGGACAAAAAGATTGTGCAAACATCATCATAGTTTACATTTTCAATCCAAACTAAGTTAGCATAAAAAAGTAAACATAATCATCAGATAGCACCAACCAAGGCTGGTGAAAAACCAACCAAAAAGAAACCAAGAAAGCAGCAACATCAATAGCAGTCCACCCACATTATTTATTTATTTTTAATCTATAATTTGTAATTTGTGTTAGTTCATGGCTCGATGTAGCAACCTTAACTTGGTTAAAATAATAGGTGGACTCATTTAAAGTCTTATAAATAAAGGATTTTGTTCGTCTACTTGTAACAATACCGGACTTGTACAGGCATCCATAAATGTAGAGAGAGTGGGAGGAAGAGATTTGATACTAAAATTTATGATTGAACTTCCAACTCATGTTACACTTAAGCTTTATTATTGGGATCTTGAATTTAAGTGTGAATTTGTGAATGTAAAGAAAAAAAATGCAACATATCATGATATATATATTTTTTAATCCATAACAAAGATAGTTTATATTATAATTTACATATAGTTTGAACTCAAATTTATGGATGGATTTCTAATTCATGTTTACACATAAATGTGATATAGATTGAGGTTATCACAAGCCTTCTGAAACCAACACTAGTGTACCTGGGAGAAGAGTTTGGTCCAGTAAGGAATCAGGTAAAGCTTTATTCATTCCAAAATCACTATCACATAGCTTTTGAGAGGTCATGAAAAGTAAGATATATAGACATACCAATTTTGGAAAGATGATTAAAAAAAAATTATTATTTTTTTATTTTTTTTAAAAAAACGTGTAAAAAATTATAAGAGATAATGTGATTTAAAATGGGTTAAAAGTTGAAAGATGACTTTTAACCATCTTCTCAAAACACTTCAAAAATACCAAAGGATTGTTCTTGGAAGTAAATTAAAAATTAATTTTTAAATTTTTTTGGGCAAATTATATTGACACCCCTTGGGGTTTGGTCCAATTATTACTCACCCCTGACATTTTAGAAATTACATTCACACCTTTGTGGTTAATAATTTCATTTCACAAACTCCCCTATTTATATAAAATGTAACAATTCCTAGTAAAAAAACAGAACTTACATTAAAAAAAAAAAAAAAAAAAAGTAAAGAAAAGGGGAAAAAAAAAAAAAGAAAAGAGAAAGTAAAGTAAAGCAAAAAGAGAGAAAGTGCATGAGTTCAATGTTTTCATTCCGTCTAAGTAATTACAATGACAGAGGGGGTTAGTGTAATTTTCCAAACGTCATGAGGTGATATGTATTAAACCCAAACCTCAAGAGATGTAAGTGTAATTTGCCCATTTTAAAAAAATATTTTTTGAAAAAATATGTTAAAAAAGCAAAGAAGTAATGTAACTTAAAATAAGTTAAAAGTCAAAAAATGACTTTTAACCTTTTACTCAAAAGGGGCCATATACTCGAATCCCATATCGATTATGATCCTTTCCATTCTAGGTATGCAATGGAGGATTTTTATTGCATATCTAATGATTATGAAATAGGAATGCAAATTTATTATTATTTTAAATTAACCATGCTTGAAATTTATTAGGCAAATTATATTAGTAGTCCCTATATTTTAGTCTGTGTCATTTTGATTTCTAATTTTCAATTATCTCGATTTCAATTCTGAATTTATGATTTTGTCTTAATTTAGTTAAAGTAATTATGATTTTTTTTAAAATAGAAAATTTGCACATAAGCATTACATGTCATATTTTTATAAGTAAATTTGTAAACTATTTTAATTTTGTGAGTTCACTCGGTCATAATTTTTCTTATAAAACCTTAATCATTGTTATTAATTGGACCAAATTGATACAAATTTAAAATTAATGATTAAAATTGAGCTAATTGAAATGATAGTGACAAAAATGACACAAAGAGTAAAATGTAGAGACTGCTGATGTAATTTACTTAATTTATGAATAATTAGGATGTGAATGCTGATGATGATGATGATCAAGTGGCCACTGTTGAAACAAATAATCAAGTCCCAAGATTTATAGACGGAAAGGGAGGTAATGCTTTACATAGAGGTTCAATACTTGATAAGCTCCCAAAGACTAGAATCACAGATAAGAATATCTATGACTCTTCGGGAAATAGAATCTCCTGCTCAGTTTGCCTTGAGGTATATATCTCACCTTCAATTAGGGATGGCAATGGATAACCTACCCTGTGGGTATCCATGAAGACTCAACCCAAATACATGGGTTTTCTCCTCTTTTTCTTATCCATTGGGTAGGGTAGGTGATATTCTTTAAATACCCACAGGGGATGGGTTGGGGATGGGTACCCACTAATTTCCCCATATGTTTTTTTTTTTTTTTTTTTTTTTTTTTTTTTTTTTTTTTTAAATTTGTAAAGTCAAGGTGATAGTTAAAACATTGCCAAGGCAGGACTGGTACCAACAGTCCATAGTAACAATAGGAAACTATCGGTTAAACAAATATTAGTAGATAAAATATTCAACACGATATCTTGTACATGAGGAGAAAAGAAGCATCATAGAATTCTTGCTTTCAACGTAATAACTATAAAGGGATCCAGAAGACAATCCGCAGAGAAAATGACCAAAAAGGTACAAAACCATATACCAAGTTAGCTTTTCTCATTCTAAAGGCAAAAACAACCATTTGCCAGCTGTACTTAGGTGATGCATGAGATGGTACAATAACTATGAAGTCTACTCTCCATATATAAATAGCATGATTTAAAAAAATAATAAATAAAAGCTGAATTTGCAATATAAATAGCATGATCAAGGATAGAAAAAATATAGGAATTTTCTATGTAACCCAAATTCAGAAATAAGATAACCTAAATTTGTTACATTACTCTCAGCATAATTTCTTCAATGCCCAGGTGAATAGGGAGTATTTTCACTCGAGACCTACATAGCCACTTCTGGTAGAATATCTAGAGTACTAATGTATGTTTCAAATCAGAAGCTTTACATCCAAACCCCAAAATATGGAGAAACAAATATTTATAAATATGGGGTACAGCTTACAAATTGTCTTTAATATAATTTCATTAGCACTAACTGCAAAAGGTTACAAATTGAAATAGATTTCACAGAGAAGATTACAGCTAATAAAAACTACCTGATTGATGCGACACACATCAGCACATCATCTTTCTCTAAAACCACTGTGTGAAATCCAATATAGTTTAGGCGTGCAAAATGTGATCTGCTAAAAACCAACAGATTTGTTAAGCAGTAAAATTTAACTACCACCACATTGGCAAGCACATCTATTAGCACCAACTACAAAAATAAGAGATCATCCGGTAAACAATGCAACCACAAGTTGGCATTATGCACATGAATAGAAAATAACCACCAATTGAACATGACAGTCAGCTGAAATTTCAAAAAAAAAAGTATAATAATTGTGCAGTCTCAAGAAACAATATCACGGAGAGAAAGAGAGAGAATAACATGCCCAAAAAAAAAGAAGTTGAAAATACAAAGATCAATGTAAGTTGGACACAAACCAGATACAGAAGAAAGTTCAGAAAATTTTCGAACGGAAAAAAAAACTTACCCCCAATTGTACAATACATGGGGTATCATGTCTATGCCTGTTCTTGAATCCACCATAGAGAGAAAGCACTCCTCCATAATTGTAAGAGCAACAGCCAGCTTTGAGTTGCATTCTGCCTTCAGTGCGACAAGTCGTTGAGCAGAATGAACTCTTTGGTCGCCATGAATGTACCTCAAAAGGGTCCAAGAGAAGCCATCAGGGAGAAGATTTACAAACCCGATACGGGAATGTATGCCCAAGTACACCTGCATGCAAAAGTGTAATATGTTCTTTAAAAAACCAGAACCAAGCTCACAAGTGCAGAAGAGTGGAAGCAAATGACAGCTGGAAACATCCAAACTAAAAGACAATGCAACTAAACTTGCCATACATCTAGGTAATCACATTACTCTCTTCCCTTCTCTGTTATGCAGCTAACTCTTCTCTATGAATTTGTCACTCATTCTTCTTTCAAATAAACAATGTAAATCAATTTTCCATCCAAGATGTGAGTATGTATCAGGGAAAGGGAGCATGTATCAGATATGTGAGTCTCATAAGCTCTTCCCATCTCCACAACGATTTGGACCCACCCCATGACCAGGGAGTAATGGTAACACTATCAAATCTTTGATTGCATGATATGAGCTAATGTGCTTGCATAGTGTCATGTTTTTTAGTAACTCTTTATTTAATTTTCTTTGTTTGATGTTTGGTTTAGCCGACCACACTTTATTGGGATGCAAGGCTTAGTTTGGTTTGTTTTGAGGAAATGGAAATATCACAATCTATGTCTCACCATGCTCTTTCTATATGCAGACCCCACCCTTTACAAGCAAACACATTACCTCTAAACAGAAAGACACATTGAAGTACATCACAGTTCAGCTGATGCAAGTATTATGTGTCAGATAACTCCAAACATCTCCACAATCAACTTCAAGGGCCCAAGATAAATGGCCTGCAGAATCGGCCTGCAGAATCAGGAGTCTCCTATATGTCTATCATCTTCAAACAGAACTCTGAACTGCCCTTATTATGGATCCTGACAAAAGATTGGTAACACACCAAATCCTCTGCAGCAGTAGGACATTTGTGAAACTGTCATCTTTGTCTTTGTTCAGCAATTCAACAAAAATCGCTACAAATATAAGCAGAGACATGACTCATGAAACTGCCTCTTGCTCCTATAACCCATTCGTATTTTATGCTTACAGGTTCGTAAGTAAGAGCAGCCAACAGTCTGCACCCCAAAATAGTTGGGGATTTGTAGATGAAACTGAACATAAACAATCACACATCCAGATAGAGGTTGAACAAATAGTCGACAAACAAACGATGTCATCAACCATATGTTATATCAGCTACCAAATGACATTCATAATGGAGATTGTTATACTTTTTGAGAGAATTAGTATAGTAAAATAAATTGATGTATATTATTGATTGATGTATTGATTGATGTATGTTATATATTACAACTATATATTACAAATGGTGGTGAGGGGCTCCTTATATAGGAGATGTAGTGGAGTAGGTGGTAGTGGTAGGTGGTAGGTGGAGTGGGTTAGGTTTAGTGGAGTAGAGGTGGTAGGTGGAGTGGGTTAGGTTTAGTGGAGTAGGTTTAACAACAATAATTTGACTCGTTCAATTTGTAAGGTCTTCTATATCATCTATGAAAAAAAATTATATCGATTTGATAATTGTAATTTATTTATTTATTATATTTATTTCTAAAAAATTAAATGAAGAGTGCATTTAACTATCTATTATTTTTAAACAAACATAATAAAATAAAAAATTTACAATTACTGAATTAATCTAATTTTTCTTTTATAAATAATATCCATAAAAAATTTTATAAAATAAAATATTTAAATTATTAAAATAAAATTCGTGACCTTACGTACCCAAAGAACAACCTCCAGTCCAAACTGGAGGCAAAACCATCCCCTTTATTCTATAAAAAAAACGTGCACCGAAAAGTTTATGTGTGTTAAGTTTGTTATTTTTGTACGCTGGTGTATAAACTATTTCTATTTTGGGTCCTGCTAAGTTATGCCATTTGTAAAATTAATTATTATAAATATCATAATTAAATTCTAATCATAATAACTAAAGACCTTTTAAATCATAATCAAAATAATATCATAATCAACATCATAATAAGTCATAACAAACACTACAATATCTATAATCAAGTCATAACTAACGCTACAATAAATCATAATTAAATACCACAAATGTTGTAACTGTAGAATTTCCCCTAGGTTTAGCCTCTTTCATGAAATTAAACTGAAAATAAACAGTACAACTTTATTATTAAAACCTCATGTGTTCACATTCAATCTTCACATCCAAACACAAGGATATACTAGACAATACCCAATATAACAAGTCAAAATTACAAGCCTTTAACATAAACTACATCACTGCCTAATATAAGAATCCTCATAACTATTTTTGTTAGAATATATTAGTAATATATTAGCTAGCTGTATATGAGCTGTCTACCAACCAGCTTTCATAATGTTGTTCCTTAGTGCATTGCTTCTTTCGGTCATTTTTGACCTCTCTGTACACACTCTCTCCTATAAAGAAGAGTCTTCTCTGAACATTGTATATACACATTCAATATACACTTAACATCAATATATACACAATTTATTTTCTCTCTTTCTCTGTACATTAATCTAACATGATATCAGAACTATAAGATTTAGGCCTATATTTCCTTCTCATCGGCAGGCAGTCGGCTAGCAACTTGCCTGCGCTGTCCGCTGGAGTTTCTACACAGAGAGGGTCAACCTCCTAGGCTGACTTCTCTCTCTCAGGGGACATAGCTCTCTCTCTCGGATGGAGCATTGATCTAGAGCTAAAACATATACACATGCATGCTCTCTATCTTTCTGCATATCACATTGAGTGGAAAGACACACACATGGGGAGAGTATAACAAAAACATGGGTCTCTGTCTCCAAACCATGGCTCTGTAACTTTGGTCTCTAGACCATGGCTCTGGAACTTTGGGAGGACACAGAGGAAAAAGATTGAACAATACATCAGCATATCACGATGCTATCAAGGAAAGATTTGGCTAAGGAGTGGTGTTTTAACTTTAGAAGGCCCCTGCATGCTTGGGAAGAAGATAAAACTGCAAGACTTATTTCTGTTTTTCAATATTGTGAAATTAAATAAATAGATTTATGAAGAAATCAGATTATATACCAAGAACATATGCTGATAATTACAATTAAATTTTAACAGAAATACACAAAACAATAAAAGGGTAAAGAGACGAAACCGAAACCTGCACGGAAGCAGTTTCCTTAAAATAGATTTCGCTGCCTCACGGGTCGAGTGCTTGAGGAAACCCGGCGTCTGTCTCCCAGGATACGACGGTCAAAACCAGCTACGGCAGAAACACTTTCTGTCTAGCTTAGCAAACAAGAACAGTGGCAGCACTCTCTCAATATAGGAACTTTTTGGCAAACTGACTTATAAAATGGAAGCAAAAAATTTCTGTGTTTGAGACTTGACAGGAGGGTCTCAATTTATACATGTATAGAGGAGAGAGGAGAAGCTTCCAGCCTTTATGGCTAGTCACTAATGCATCATTAACCTCTATAATAAAGGCAGGAGCTACAAACCCCATTAATACACTATTAAACTCTGCAATAAAGGTAGGAGTTACAAACCCCATTAATGCACTATTAAACTCTGCAATAAAGGCAGAAGTTACAAACCCCATTACCTCTTTCATGAAGCTAACTTCATGAGGCAATTTCTCATTCAAATCTATATGGTTTTTGGCCATTCTATTTGTGGTGTAAAGATCTCATTGCAAAGTATCTAGACCCACTTAGACCCAACTCAATAGATAGTTGGGACCCACTTTAATATTTAATTAAAGTCACCAAAAAACCATTTTTTTTCCAACAATCCCCCACATGAATAAAAATTGACCGAATGACTCAACAAACGGACACTGTTCAACAATAAAGACTCGGAGAAAGAGTACAATGAACTAACCCCGACATCAGAGAAGGTAGCTTTTGGCTTTGAACCTCTCCCAGTAAAAACCTATCGAGTTTACTGGCTGATCTGTGAATAAGACATCTTGAACTGCTCTGCCGTTTATGTAAACTGAGACAATAGATCTCACACGGGAATTACTCCTACCACCATTCTGTTCTCATTGGTGTGCCCTGTGTGGCCTTGGATACTAGCCTGGTTCAGCGAGTGGTTTTAAAGAATCTTGGCCTGCCCAATTCTTCTAGAAGCGGCCCCACTTCAAACTTACATAGGTGACTCTACTTGAGTATCCTGCTATACTCAGCTCAACAGTTTAACACACTAGAGTCATTAAAAGCTCAGCTTAACCTCTACACTTGCAGGTATCACTGATAGAAGGAATGGCTGGAGGTTTAACCTCCTCAGTGACATACCATCGTTACACGCAATTAGGTTGTCCCATTGAACCTAGATCTTGGGATCTCCAGTCAACTAAGTTGGGTTTCCATTCCGGTAACTTCCAAAGGCCTTAACCCTATTCCTTTTGACGACGTTTCGACTAACACTCGATTTAACCCTTTGGTTAGCGGATCCGCAATGTTGTCCTTAGACTTTACATAGTCTATAGAGACAACTTCATTCGAGAGTAGTTGTCGTATAGAATTATGTCTACGACGGATATGTCTAGACTTTTCATTATACATATTACTCTGTGCCCTACCAATTGTAGATTGACTATCACAATGAACACAAATAGCTGGCACAGGTTTAGACCAACGTGGAATATCTTCAAAGAAATGGCGTAGCCATTCAGCTTCTTCTGTTGCTTTATCTAAAGCAATAAACTCTGATTCCATCGTTGATCTAGATATACACGTTTGTTTGGAAGATTTCCAAGACACGGCTGCCCCACCAAGAGTGAACACATATCCACTAGTGGACTTTGAGTCCTTTATATCTGATATCCAATTTGCATCACTATAGCCTTCAAGCACCGCTGGATATCGAGTATAATGCAGCCCATAATCCCGAGTGTAGCGTAAATACCTTAACACCCACACAATGCCCTTCCAATGAGAAGCATCGGGATTACTTGTGTATCTACTAAGCCTGCTAACTAAGTAAGCTATATCTGGCCTAGTACAACTCATCAGATACATTAAACTTCCAATTACCCGAGGATATTCTAACTGAGAGACACTTTCTTTATTATTCTTGGTAAAATGTAGACTTAAGTCTACAGGTGTCGATGACACACTCGTATCTGATCCACTAAACTTCTCAAGTATCTTATCAACATAATGAGACTGAGATAGTACAATTCTGTCAGAGATTCTGGTAATCTTAATTCTCAGAATAACATCTGCAATGCCCATATCCTTTATGTCAAACTTAGAGTTTAACAACTTCTTGGTAATTTTGATCATTTCATCGTTACTACCTATAATGAGCATATCATCAACATATAGACACAAAATGACATAACCTCTGTCAGTGTCTTTGACATAAATACACTTGTCACATTCGTTGATTCTAAACCCATTTGTCAAACTTCTCATGCCATTGTTTAGGCGCTTGCTTCAAACCATACAAAGATTTGAGAAGTTTACAGGCTTTCTTGCTTTTCCCTGGAGCTGAAAACCCTTCGGGTTACTCTATGTAGATTTCTTCATTCAAATCCCTATTTAAGAAAACTGTCTTTACATCCATCTGGTGTATTTCTAGATTACGCAATGCTGCTATCGCAATCACCATGCGAATGGATATTATCCTAGTTACAGGTGAATACGTATCAAAGTAATCTAGGCCTTCTCGTTGCATGTACCCTTTGATAACGAGCCTCGCCTTATACTTGTCAATTGACCTATCGGCCTTCATCTTTCTTTTAAAAATCCATTTGCAGCCTAAAGGCTTGCAACCTGGAGGTAAATCTACCAACTCCCAGGTGTGGTTCTGTAAGATGCAGTCAATCTCAGTTTTGATTGCTTCTTTCTATAAAGGACTCTCAGGTGAAGTCACAGCTTCATGG